AATAAATGCTTTGGGTTAAACTCTAGATGGGTGTTTCTTCAACAGTGGGCACTTTTTACCTTTTTTACCTACTTTTTTTAAATGAACGTGTAGGTCTGGCCGTCTGGAGTAAGGGTACAACAATAAAATCTGCATGAAGGCATTTGAAAAGTAGAAAAAATGAATGATCTAGGCATTGTATAACATTTCTAAGTTTGAATGTTACCTTCATATGAAATTAAATCTGTTAGTTTTTAATAAATAACAACCCCTGGGACAGAAAAGTGCACATAGTTGAAGAAACACATACACAGTTTGCTTGTTGCGATATCCTCTAACTTTACCTCATACCTTACTTCACAAATTCATTCTAGGATTTTAATGCGTAAATTTCGACTGCCACAAGATCATGAATGTAAGTAGACAATTTTTTCTTTCTAAGGTGTAGGCATCATCAATTAAATCCTGAGAATTTGCAAACAGATGCACATAAAGGCACATACTACCTGTACACAAATGTTTGAGCTGCAAGTGTTTTTCTGGTCATTTGTTCGGTTTCAGATTGTTTTCAGTATGGTCTTGCGGAGAGACAGATCCTAGAGCTGTTACAAGGGCTTCATGTGACCAAAACTACATCTCTTAATGACAGGAGGAGCTCAGGCCCATCATGTCCTGAGCCTAGTGAGGAAGACGGAAGCATCAGACAGAAAGACATCGAGGAAGATGATATATGTCCAATCTGTCAAGAAGAACTTTTGCTGAAAAAATTGCCAGTGACCTATTGCAAGTAAGAGAACTTATTCAGAATTAATCTTATTTATGAAATTAAATGGATACTCTCTAAATATATGTATAATTTAATGATAAACACTGTATTTACCAGGAAGTTAATATGTTTCATAGCTGAAACATTTGAAATCAATACATAACATAACCTAGAAATGTATTAAGAATGTCCTTTCTCCATCTTTAAAGCCAAATGCATCACACTCACCCAAGTTTCCATTTAAACCCAAAAAGCTATTAGTGATCCTCAATGACATGAATTTCTATGTTGAGGTGGTAACCGGTTACATTGTAATTATGCATCATTGTTAAGGTTTAGCTGTGGAAACAACATCCACATTTCCTGCATGAAGGTATGGGCTGATCATCAAATAAAGAGGGACCCGCATGCACTTCTTAAGTGTCCTCTCTGTAGGGAGGACTTTGGCACTTTTAAGCAGCTAATTGAACAGGTACATCATTCCAAGGCACAGTCACTCAAAATTGTCTTTACTACCCTTTGTTTAAACTTAAATAATCTTGGGTTTAAATGTGTTATCTTTGACAGGTGAAAAATACAGGTGAACTGTTAACCTGCTATGAGAAGGACTGTCTGGACAAACATCTGGGTGTTATGTGTAACAGCTGCAGGGTTTGTCCAATCATCGGCAAATGTTTCAAGTAGGCATCTATTACACAGTGCAGACATATACTATTGTTCAAAAGTTTGGGGTCAGTAAGATTTTTTTAATGTTTTTGCAAGAAGCCTCTTATGGTCACCAAGGCTGATGATGATCTGCTGATTTGGTGCATGAATATATGTTTTTTTCTATTCTCACATTATTATCAATATTGAAAATGGTTAAAAATAAGCACTGCTTATTATTCTTGTGAAAACTGTAATGCATTTTTTCAGAATTCTTTGTTGAACAGAAAGTTAAAAAGAATAGAATTTATTTGAAATAGAACTTTGTATTTGTAACAAATTTGTAACCATGTAAATCTCTTTGATTTGATCAGTTTAATGCATCTTTGCTGAATAAAAGTATTAATATTAATTAAAGTTTTCAAAGTTTTAAATTCTTTTCAAAGTTTTAAAATCCTACTGAGCCCAAATGTTTGAATAGTAATCTATTTATTCTTATTCTGACTAATGTTGAATTGGAGCGTCATATTCAATGTCTTAAATCTGATGTTTACAGGTGTACAGAGTGCAATTTTTTCCATCTGTGTGAGGACTGCTTTAGGAGAACAGTCCATCCACAACATTGCTTCATGGTTCGAATGGTGAGTTTTTAAGATTCACATGTGAGCAGGAAACATGGTGATGCTATTCATAACTGCACAGTGAAGTTATTTGTAGCATAAATTAGAAAAAAGTTTACCATATGGCACTATCAAACAATATAATAAACAACATGTTTTGAATGTTTAAAGTGATGTTTAGGGTGTTATATAGCGATTTAAGTGTAGTTTAATGCATTATAGCATTAAGAGGTTAACAAAATATTCTTTCTTTACTGTTAAAATTGTGCAGAAAAGAGGTCAGCCATGGCATACAGTAGAACCTCACATCTCTGAGGAAACACAGAAAATGGAAAACCACTCAGTGTGTAGTAGGTTTGTCTGCTCCATTCTAGCTTCTCTGCACATTCTTTTATTTTTAATTCTAAACCTACTTTAAGGAATTTTTTGGGAAATTTGTTGGGACACATTACTTTATTTTACTCTACATAACAGCTCCAGCAGCATGTCTGGTGTGACATGTGATATAGTCCCGAACTATGTAATGAAGAGTTTGCCGATGGTGAGAGTTCGGAAAGAGTCCAGACTGCTTTATCCAGGTATTCAGTGTAGAATCTGCCTCGCAAGATTTCAACAGGGTCAGCATGTCAGAACCCTTCCCTGCAAACACAAGGTAACACAACTCAAGTTCAGGTCACTCAATGTGTGTTGAATACTGATAAAGCTTTAATATCTTTTTTATTATCTATTTTCTCTCTTTCCTGAACCTGATCCAGTTCCATACTGGCTGTATTGATCCATTGCTCCGCAAGTCTAACTGCTGCCCACTGGACTGGCACATCATCTACAATCCTCTAACGTGGAATCCCAAAAGTGGCAGAACAGAAAGCTCCCTGACTCCATCTAGTGATGTTCTGAGCAAGCATACCGATGACCAGATCTCAGAGTTCTTTCTACCAGGTATTGGTTTGCACGTAAAAAGAAGTAGAGCTCCATCTCCGTTGAGATTAGTGACATCTGAACCAGGGTATTCCAGTCCTTCCTCTGTGGATTCACTCACTCAGGGTTTTCGGGATCTCTGCATCAATAGTTCCCACATAGAACCATATACCAGAATGTCCACCATGAAGCAAAATCATACAAAAGAACAGAGGTCTCTTCATAGGAGCTTATCAGTTGGGAAGGCAATAGCTGCACAGGCTGAGATGAGAGAGTCCTTCCTAAATAGGCCCTCAGCAACTTGTTTGAACATACAGTCAGCTTTGGCTGGAACACAAAATGATCAGCAAAGCCTTGCTGTGGGCATTAATGGATCATCCAGCATGACTCCAGTTTTCGGCAGAATCAGACCACTGAGGAATGGTCGCTTAAGAGAGAGACCAAGGCCAAACAGGGTGGATGTGAAGAATCTTCATCTCTGGATGACAAACAATCCTGTCAAAGTTATACTTATGAGAAAACGAGAGTAAAGTGAACAAGTATGCAATCAAAAAATAATGGTAGCAAGTTGCTTCAAGGGTGTCTGGATTACCTCCACAGTCCAGGACGCAAGAATTTAAGACACTCAAATGTGTAATATTAAAAAGCTTTTATTAAAATACTGCTATAACATTAAAAGCCAGAAGCGCCCTGAGGAAGGCTCTTTTTAATGTTATTGCCCTGTTTTAAAATGGACTTTTTAATATTATACCTCATATGAGTGCCTTAAATTTCTTGTTTAATAAAATCATGCATGTTAGGTTTTCTTGTATTTAGCTGAGCAGTCACTGAATTGCAGAATCTTTAAACTTAGAATTAACAATGCTTGATCTTTCCTGAAAACAATGGCAAAGACAGGCCATTTTTTATGTTATTAAAAAATAAAATGTTTTAAAATGGGCTTTTTAATATTATACCCAACGTGACCCTTAAAATGATGCCTTACATTTCTCGTTTAATGAAACCAAGTGTGTTCTAATCAGGTATGTTAGGTTGTTAGGTAGTTTGCAGAGCAGTCACTGAATTGCAGAATCCTTAAACTCAAAATTAACAATGCTTGATCTCTGCCGAAAACACAGGCAAAGACAGGCCAATTTTGACATTTATGTTGGTATAAGAGACAGTACTTTTATTATTGTCTTTTCATTTTTTGAATTACTAATTATTTGTTAATTATTTAATGTTTATTTATATGGTTTAAAAAATCTAAAATAAAATGTATGCTTTCATTAATTCTGGGTACATAAAACTCCATGACGTTATTTTTTTTTTGTGGTCAAGTACCTTTATTAAATGTGCACAAAAAGGCAGATTACAAGCTGTACTTTAAAGCATCCAGTAATGGCTCATGAGCCATTTAAACCAGTGTGTTGAGAAATAATTAAAATATATTACAATTAATGAAATAATAAATGCTACAATACAACATAAATTACGTTAAAAACATTCAGCTGACACAATGCAATCTCTCCTCGGTCATACTTCATTTAAAATGTCAAACTCAATTTCCCTTCTTTGTTCTCATTTGCTGCCTGACAACAAGAAGCTAGAGTTTTATTGTAACTGTCAATAAAAATTAAACAGTTACAATTAATTGTCTAAAATAATACAACTACAAAAGCTCAAACACATTCAGTACATGAGTTGATAATGATTTGTTGTCAATTTGTGAAGAAATATTTCACACACAAAACACATCAGCACAAGAAACATCTTAATATGCTAGGTTCAGCTGTGCTTCCAGCATTGGCCTTGGTAAGGCAAGCCATAACCTGAGACATATTGTCAGTGTTTTTGGGTACTACATTCTTACACATGAAAACATTGAATGATAAAGGCATTACAATGGACAGCATGCAAATGTTACTAGCAATAATACATTAAATAAGTACAGTGCGTTAAAATAGCATATGGCCTCAAAGGCCTTAGTCGCTCCCTCAAAAATCTTTTTGCAACACACTGGTGCTCCTTCTGATTTGGAGAATACATAGTGCTTAGCTTAACAGCTTATGATAACAGTGCTCATTTTTTCCCACAATTTATTTTATAATTGTTTATGGCAATGTGTGGCAGTTCCTTGCGTTACATTTCAATTTGTGTAGAATTGAACTGAAGAACAAAAACTGATTCCAAGCAAGTCAAGAGATCCAAATTGATCGCATTTAAAGTTTTGCGGACTCACTAGAAGAGCATTGTGAGTACAAGCATTGTGCTCGCAGGGCAACAAATGTTTAAAAATACATAGATATATATATATATACATACTTTTACAATGTACTTTTGAAGATAAACAAATATGTTCTTTCAAAGCAGTTTGTAAAAACATTGTACAGTGTGGTTGCGAAATTGCGTACAAATGAACTGCTGACAGAATGCTGGATACAGCATAGCCATGGGAATCGACTGAGCTACGGAAGGTAAGACAGGCATTTTTGCTTTATTCATTCTTCCTGATGTTTACGTTATAAGGCAATTTGATCAAAACCATTTCCAGACACCAAGAAGCTACGACTACACGCAGGTTATTTAGTTAGTGTTTCGTTTGGGGTCTTTCCTCCCTCACGTGTCGAGAGGTCTTCTTGTCAGGCTTCTTGTCTCGAACCTTCCTCAGTCTCCGTGGCGGAGGGGTAGATTTAGACTCGCTAGAGGTGTCTCCTGCATCCCTGTCCTCTGGGATGTTGGGAATGGCTGCACTACTGCCTTCCAGGGTGTTCCTCAGGGACATGTCCTCGGGACTCCCAATTTCACTGCTGCTCAAGTCCTGCTCTTGATTTCTGCTTATTTTAGCCATGCTAGCGCTCGAGGGTTCCTCGCTTTTACGCAATGGCTGCTGCAGTTCATTCATGTCCACTCCAGAGTCCAAGCTTGTGTCATTGCTGCTGCCCGGACGGTGTCTTCCTTGAAGCTCGATCACAGAGTGACGAACCTGGGCTGCTGGTTTACCATCAAGAGACACAAACCAGGCCCGGGGTGGGTGAATGGACGGTTTGCCCTTGGAGAGCTCCAACAAGGTTTGCTCTGATATTCCCTGGAGTTCCCCCCGGAAAGGCCCCATTCTGGCTGCTTCGTTCAATGTTCCTGGGACAGACACGGATTCCAGAAGATGACTGTAGCGGCCCCATAGCCCTGGGTTTGTGGCAGCAGCTTGCGCTCCCTCCAGAGCCTGCTGCTCATCGCTGTCCTGCGGCGGAACTTTTGGCAACGTCTGAGTGAAACTGTCACTCAGGATGAAACTGGAACTGTTTATGTTCCGCTCTGTCTGAGCTCCATGCTCCATGCCATTCCTTGGGAAAGTGGCAGATCTACTTCCAGAAGGGTCAGCTTGTCCCTGGGAACTGAACAACTCTGGGGCCGGTACAATCGCCACGGACTGGTTATAGATGTGGAACAGCTTGTCTTTGAAAACTACATTCTCTGCACCATTCTGGCGTGAGGCATTCTGTTCAGATTTTTCCCGAAGCTTTGCAACTTCATCACTATTAACATAGAGATTAGACACTGGGGCTCTGAAGCTTTCTAATCCCACAACTCCAATGTTCTCGTACAGATTGCCTGCTGGCCGCCCAACATTTTCCACATAAATATTGTAGTTGGCTTGGTGTCGTGGAGAGTCTGATGCATCATGGCTGATGCCCCTTGCAGCCAGTGAATAAGAACGGTCCCCGTTATGAAAAAAAAGTTCTTGAACCTCATCAGAGCTGGTGGAAGTGGTCTGGTCTTTCTTTAGTACAGTGAGCCTGGTGGAATTCCATCGCTTTCTTCCGGCCTCATAGTTTAAATCTCTATAAAACAAGATAGAAAGGGATTGCTACATATTTTGATAACTGCCCTTCACATGAAAATAAGGTTAAGATGAAATAATCAAGTTATGCAATTCAATGTTGTTCAATTGTATTTATGAGAAAGTCATGCAATGATACCTGCATGGCTGAATAAGCTCTTACCTGCAGTGAAATACAATCACAGATAAAAATCCAATGACTATCACAAGAGTTCCTCCCAAGATACCCACAAGAAGGTATGTGTGGTAGGACATGAAATCCATTGAGCTTGCAAGCCCCATATAACCTAGATTTACACAAACATAAATCTGGTTAGAGGGCTGCACATGAACACAAGAAGATTTGGATTTCAGTGTAAAAGTAAGTAATGAAAGTGGAATGCTTTTGGATTGATAAATAGTAATGATGATTTTACAATATTTATTTTAATTACGTATCTTAGAAACGACTGATTCCTACCTGATGATGGTGGTGGTGCAGCAATCCAGTTACCAAGTTGAGGTGCTATGTAATTCCAGACTAGGCCGTTTTTCTCCATCTGAACAGTGCCTATACCTTTATTTACCCAGGTACCTGTGATAACATATAACATTAAGTGCTTCTGTTGGACGCAATCCTAAATTCAAAGGTCTCCTAACCTTGATACACAGGCCATTGTGTAAAATGAAGCTCCTACTTAGTTTTTTTGACAATGACTAGGACCTATTTCTCAACAGTTAGGTCACTTTTTCAAAACTCTTCACACAGTTCTCGTAACCAACAATTAGCTTGGCAAAGCAGTTAATTTAACATTCAATATGCACTAAAACTACCAAATCAAGTACCTATCTCAAATCAAGTAAATCTTCCATAACAATAGAAAAAGGTTGTCACTAAACCAACACATTTCCATTTAATGTCACTCATAAAACTGACCTAAAAACACTAACAACAGGCAGCATTATACGTTTTCTTTTGTAAAATTTCTTTACATAACATGGATGACAGCTCTATACTGTTTAGAATTCACTGCTGTGTATGTTACAGTACAAAAGGATTACTACGTTATTCCCTTTTGTATAGATGGTAATACAATTAAAAGACTAACACTTCAGCTACATCTGTTTTGATAGTATTTCATTTTTTAGATTTATAATATATTTTAATATTACTATAGGAATGTAGCAAATTTTGCTCTTATTCAGTTTTGTAACATGTTAGGTTTTGAACAGTTCTGAACAGTTTTAAAAAGAGTATGTAAACATGCAAATTGGCCTATAGGTACATAGAGTTTTGGTAGTGTTTGTGTGAGTTAAAATAAATAGTCACTGAATGTATTTTACTCCAAATCAATGGAAAATGATCCACAGTTTAGCCAACATAGACTGCTGTTCACTGTGTAAATAGTTCTGAAAAAGTGACTTAAGTATTGGGAAATTGGTCCTAAAAACCTTGTAAGCAGATGTAAACGATCTGATATAATCTTATCTAAAGTGTCTTAAAGATGAAATGTGTCAATTCTGTGCCATTAGCCCCCATTAGGGACCAGTAAGTATATTGCTTAAGGACCATAATGATGATAGTTCATAGAACCCACTTTAAGAAAACAGTGGAAGATCTGACAAGCTTCTTTTGAATGGGTAAATTTGCAGTCTTTTAATGCTGAAATGTTTTTCAGTCACCTATGGTCATGTCGAAGGTCCACGCAGGCAGTGAGTCAGACGGTCGTATGTGGGTGTGGTAGGGAAGTGGTACTTTGAGCTGAATGGGTCCTTTGACATCAACCTCTTTTCCATTAGACACTAACTGGGCACTGATCATAGCCAAGGGGTTTAACTTGACATTCCTATAACCTGTAATTCGGGATACAATGATAACTGAGATTCATTTTATAATCTGCAGAAAATACATAGGAAAACTGTGTAAGGGTGTAATGGTCTAGAAGATCAATAATATGTGTACAATGTGCCATCATGTTAGCTCGTTTAAATCTGGGTAACCAAGCAGCCAGGCATTGCCTAATCAATAACACATAATCAATAACATTAACTAATCAATGCAGTAAAGAGTCTAAACAGTAATGGAGTTTGTAGCTTTCATTGACTAAAGGCTGTCCTACAATATATACTCCCCTCACAGATCATTAACATTCAGTGAAACACATAGGGTCAGCATTCAACTCAAGAGATGTTTAGATTTGACTGAACCACCATGTAGTCAGATGCAAAAGATATTTCATCCTTTTTTTTTTTTTATTCATCTTACCTCCTTTACCGCTCAGGTTTTGAGTAAAGAAATGTGAGTCTTTTTCTGTAGGCAGGACTGGAACTGTCAGATAGGCTGACAGCATGGAGATGGTAGTGTTCTCAGACAGTTTGAGGAGACTTTTGGAAAACTGTACACTCGGTTGAAATGACAGATCTGTAATGTGAAAATAAATAATACAACAGTAGAAATTTTGTGTGTCAGTATCACATTCAGAGTAGGGCTCCATGCAGCAGATATATGTAGATACTAAATTCAATTATAGACTATAACATTTTTAAAACAGCTCTCAATTTCAAAATAGTGGTATGGATAATTGGCAAAAATAATAGGTAATAGAGTAAGGAATGCTGACATAACTGACATACCAGATGCTTTTCGAGTTATCAGCACAGTATCATCAAAGAGCCAGATGTTCCCTTGTGTTTGAGGGCGCAGAGACATCGTAATAACAGAAAAAACTAGGAAATAGCATAAAAACAAACACTCAAAACTCATTTCAGCAGCCAAGTTTTTCACATTAAAATGACATTAGTTGTATTTCTCCATATGTTTGAAGGACATTTCTTTAGAGCTCTAGTTGGGTGTTATACAACAAGCCAGGCCAGGGTGAGGTCACATGGTTCACAGCTTTCTTGCTGCCTAGTCATCTTTTTCTCACTATTTATTTTTTCATCTCACTGAAGTGTTTATTGAGCATATCTCATCAAAATATGCAGGGATTAAGAGGAAACTTTAGACTGAATAATAAAAAAAAAAAATACATCTAATATATACCTATAAAAACAAAATCAAAATCCTGATGTCCTCACATCATATAAAATATGCAATAACCAAGTAAATTAAACAACTCTGCATCTTTGAGGTTATGAACTTACTGGGCATCTTGGTGGTTTTCCAAGGCAGCTGGGTGAGCACATAACCCTCCATGCTGGCCACCAGAGTGAGGGTCAGGCCAAGGTGGTATGAGACAGTGACCGTGACCTCTCCATTCTCCAGAGTCTGGCTGGAGTGAATCTGGGATCCATTGAAGAACACACCCACCACAGCTCCTTTCAGGAACCTCTGGCTAGATTCATCTTTAACCCAAATCTTCAAGGTCAGGAGTGACTCTAGAGACAGAGAAAATACCAGGTTTTTGTGGAAATGAATAAAAATGAGCATAGAAAGGTATTCTGGTAGCTTGAATGCTATATTTTGCCTCAAACCCTTGTAATACGTGTCAAAGATAAGAGAATCATTTTTAAAAAATGAAACAAATTAAATGGAGTTTAAGGTTAACCACATGGACCAATGTTTATAAGTTCATTGAGGTAACTGAACTGTAATTGCTCAACGCATTAAAAACCAATACAGCCAACACTGAAAAAAACTGGTTGGTGACAGTAAAATCTTAGCCTTGAAATAGTTATGACCACTGGACCCACGGCTCAGGCAGAGCGGCTTAAAAATAGATCAAAGTGCCAAATGTTGGATGAGCACATCAGTGAAAAACCTTGAAAATCCTCTGAAATGTCTCTCAATACTGAAAAAAGAAGTGAATCCCTCGTTCTTTGCATAGACCATGTGCAGATCCTCAAAACTCAACATGAACCAGGATGATACAATGGGAGACACTAGAATTATAAAGCGACATTGCTTCAACATTTTTTTCAAAAACACTGATTTTTTTTTAAATGCTTTTGGTCTTCTTCTTGCCCTGATATTTGGAGATTATTAAAAGATTACTATTACAAAAATGTAGTAATAGTACTAAACTAACATATTAACTAAAAAATAGTAATTACTAACATATTAGAAAATTTAGAGAAAAAAAATGTAAATTAAAAAAATCTGAATTAGTAATATTTATTTTGAATGAATGTTCTATAATCTATTTTGGCCTTTGTGCAACATAAATGCCAATTATTTTTCTCAAATGCATATATATATGTGAATGACATTTTAGCAAATTGGGGGGTCATTGGCATCAAAAAGTTTGAAAACACCTGACATTAAAGACCTAATAGATTTGATTATACTGTCTATCTCAAACAGAATGGTCTTGGATGATACTGGCTCTAAAGTAATCCCACATTAAATGCACAATGATTCTGTACATTCAAGATAAACAATGTGCAATGCTGCTCACTCACCTCTAAATAACGTGGACATGGCTGTCCTAAATAAAGCCTGAAATAGGTGGCTTCACTGCAAAAGAGCTTCGCAGGCTCACAAATAATAGACACATAATGAATGCTACAGGCCAGTGTTATGAGACAGCAAGCACAGCGGTTAACAGCGCACCCATGTCCTTTGTTGTCATGTTGACATCCCTATTATTTGTAAGCACACCGCATGCAGAGCTCATGGCGGTGCTGATGCTGAGGATGTAGATGATGCTGAAGATGAAGCCAGCGGATGCCGTGACCGTTACCTGATGGAGGCACCGTCGCATCCCACTGTCCCTTGACCGTGGACGTCTGTGTCTCGCTGGCATTGAATTTGTCCTCCTCCGACAGCGAGGCGAGGCCGTGGGAGAGCACCCCACCCTGCGCTCTCCTCACGTACCCATCCTCGCAGAAAATCAGCAGCGCGGCGAGGAGCAGACACCCCGAAAGATCTGGCATGGCGTCTCAGACATAACTGCACTCAGTGGCACGGAGAAGGAGAATGTTGTTGTTTTTCTGTCTTCAGGTGGATGTGTAATGTCACGGTCACATCGTGCTTCTCGGGTGGACCGACGGATATCTGAGGCTGCTGGAGTCAGACGGGTGCGCGTGTTGCGTCATAGCTCATGAGATGCCATCTGCTGGCTCAGTGTTTTTTTTCGTTTTTGTTAAAGCGTACGCAGTTACGCAATGCTCTTTTCATGCCTAGGTAAACATTTTACAGAGATTTTAATGATTTGTATGACGGGATTTAAAATATTAGTAAAACACGTTTACATATTTTTGTACACAAATTTCTAAATGGTTATAAAAATATAAATATATACATATATATTTAATATATATTTATGAGCTATAACATAAATGGCTATTTACTTATACATTATGCACTAATATATGGGTGTATAATTTGGTCTAAAAATAACCTCTTTTTTTTTTAGGAACAATATTAAATTTTTCTCTACATAAACCACCAGTCAAAAGTTCAGACATAATACTACTTTTCACATTTTACAACATTAAACCCATCAAAATGATGATATACCGCAAATGGAAGTTTTAATTATGTACTGAAAAAAAAAATCACTTAGAAACTTAGAAAGCAAACTGCTGTATGTTATGCAAAACCATTTTAATTGTCATGAATGAAGTGAACAGAATCACTGTTCATTAGCTGTAAGACATCTGAAGGACAAAGCAGTGTTTTGGGAGGTATTGAAATACCTCCATTTTATTGTAATAATTCAAGCGAATTACATTGTTATAATGTACAACATACAAACAGACTGTGGAAAAGGTCTTCTGTAAGGAGAAAGTTTTGAAAGGAAAAAAAACTAAAAAACTAAAAAATTGAACACATTTTCTCACTCACCTATTCTCCAAAAACAAAAAAACAAGTGCATTAATAACATAAAAACAAAAACCAGGAAATTAATAAGGGTCTTATTTTTTTTTTTTAAATCATCAAGATATTGAAAACAAACAATCTCCTTTTCAAGCAGCCCTATAAATGAGTGGATGAACGTTCCTCAACTGAACCATGTAAAAGTATGAATCATCCAAGATCCTCTCTTTCCCCAAACCAGCTTCTAAGCATAGTTATTTAAAGCACTCATGGTGTTCATCTGTTCACCGGACTTTTTTTTTTTTTTTTTTTTTTTTTTTTTAACTGAATAAAGCTTTAGAGTGCTCACCAACCTCTGAAGCAAAAAAAAAAATAATCATAACAGTATCCAAATACCTCCCACAAACTTTGATTATCTGCATATTATGAAAGCCTTGTGATAGGCTAAAAACAGTGGTTACGCTGCCAGTCAGACATTGGCTAAAGTAACTTCAAACAGGAGGACACAGGTCAAGAACAGCAAGTGGGAGGAGGCCAAGACAGACTGCTAAGCCACGCCTCCTTCCTTCCTGCCAACACATTAAACCTCCTCCTCCTCATCATCATCATCATCATCATCCTCCAAGTCACAGAAGTCGATGGACGGTCTGCTGTCCTCTGCCTCATCTTCATCCGATTCTGCGTATGAACCTTTGAGTCCAAACATAAGGAATATGCAGAAACATTAAAAAAAAAACTGAAAGGGAAGAGGGAGGAAAAAAAAAAAAGCCAGATGCCACCTTCTGGTGGAGAATTAAACATAAGTAAGCATTTTTAACACCAACAAGGCACTGGTAATTCCTTCCATGCATTCAACAGCCAATTATGACTCACTAAGTTGGTTAATAAATAAACAGATGTAGTAAATGCCACGCAAACAAATTTTAACATTTGCTTACACTTTAAACTTTTTTTCATTTTTTTTTTAAAACCATGTACACATTTTTGCATATTTAATATCAGCACTAGAACAAACATTGGGTTAACATTGGGTTATCATCTATACTTACCTATGCATTTAAAAGTTGATATCAACAAATATATAAAGATTAATATAAATGAACCGACAAGATTTAAGTAATTCATAACGTACTTTCAAGATTGTCCATGTGTTCATGTAGAGTTCTCGCCAAGTTGAAAAACTGAGCGAGAGAGGGGAAAATTTTGTGGGTTTTTTTAAAATCACAACATTATCTTATAATGAACACTTTGATACTGAGTGACGCACCACACGATCCAAAGTACTGAACTAAAAGATAAGACAATAAACAAAGCAATACAGGAAAGATGTGGAAGTCTTACCCCGGCATCATTTACTGCACCCAAGACATCAGAAAACCTCTGCTCACACAGATGCAGGAGCACCACCAGGTACAGCCCACAGCTGATGAACTCGTACTCCGACTGAGGAATCAAACACACAAACATGAAACTAAAAATTTAATTAAAAATATAATTCATGTAACAGATAGATGTGACATTACTTGAGAAGATAACTTGTCTTTGATGTTCCTTATTCAAGATGTTTCTGATCAATAGTGTGGTAGGATTTTTGGCAAATACTAGTTCTGGGGCTGTACCATGAAGCCGGATTAGCTGGCTAGCCAGGCAAGTTTCAGATTAGTTTGCACCAATCCTGGGTACCATGAAAGTGGCTTGGCTTTTAGTGGCATTCATCGCCATGGTAACTTACGCTCCGCGGCTAACCTGCTCTGGGGCAGGTTATGTTCTGGGTCAGAGATCTCAAACCAAAACTGGACCAATCAGATGGGAGCAAAGGGACACTGACACATCCAGCGCAATAAAGTCACTCCCCCAGTTTCTCTTCCTCCAAATTAAAGGTCACTATATAGTCAATTTAAAAAATATTTAACGATGAAATTGTGCAGCTTTAATGATAATTACTTACTATTATTTTATATGATTTATACAATTACTAATCCATTACGCACAAGCAATTTTAGTTTAACAATTATTATTAAACATTTAGTTTAAATGAATATTAATATGATATGTAATATAAATTAGCTGTAGAATCAAAAGATAATGCTTTAAAAATTACTTCATGTGACCTTATATGTTTGAGTCTCTATCGTTATATATCATCAACTATATGAACTAACTTCACAAGTTTCACTTGCACTGATAGAGGGAGATAATTTCATTTATTTGTCCTCTTTCATGGACAAGTATTTTCTTCAGTGTAAATGCATTAAAATTCTTCATATTCTTCAACCCCTTAACCGTCAGCAAAAGAGTTTTGAATCACGCGGTCTCTCTCGCGAGAAGTGAATCGCAGTTTCTCTATGTTGTAAGGCTTGTGATTGGCTGTTCGCCACTGATGTCACACATTTGTATGCACACTCTCCACGAACTCAGGATCAAAGCTCGAGTTAACAGAGAAAGTTGATGAGCATCATGGTACCAACAAAGCCAGATTGGAGTGATTTGGTTTTGTCAGCTTAAAACTAATCCTGTAACATTGAGTTTGTTCCACTACCATCATGGTACAGGCCCGATTTATTGTTTTTCTATGTAAAAATGCTAGACCAATGCAGAGCTCAAGTTACGAGTTCAACAGTCTAGACTAGATTTTTTTTTCTCCTTTCTTCTACCCTGTCTCGCATTTTTAAATGCAAAACAGTACTCTTTGAGAATGGCTCATAAAGGTCTGTTTGCACTATTAATGCATGGGCTATTGAACAAACATTCACATACTATCAATGTGACATTTTCACACTTTGACAGACTCTGCTGTTACATAAAACTAGGACTTGCTGGCTCTCACAAAAAAGTATTTTGCTAAGCAACAGTGAATAGCAGAGGAAGAATCCAGAACTTTTTTTTGTCCCTGTACTGTTGTATTTGGCGTTATTTGATAAACACCACAGCGAATGCAAAAACCTGAACATCTGTTTGAAAGATATAAAAACTGTTTGACTTCCTTTTTTCTTTGTGACAAGAGAGTGTCAGAAGTTGCACAGGGCTGCTTTGTTTACCAATGTAATTCTGCTTTTCCTAAAGTGCCACCTGCTGTTTTTTCCACATTGGTCTGAATGGAGCAAAAAAAAAAAAAAAAAAACAACAAACAAAACAAAAAAAAAGGCAAGAGAAAATCAGACCGAATTCATGTTAGTGTGAACAGGCCTTAATTACAAATAATAACTCTCGTCACTTTAGAGATTCTTTACAAACCACAACTGGACAAAAACATAATAGGGAAAACATTTTTATTTTTGGTAATTTAAAAAAAATAAAAAGGTTCTCAATTCCTAACCAATCCCAACCAATTTTGGGTTTCCCAGAAGAAAGTCATACAGGTTTGGAACATCATGAGGGTGAATAGTTCACCAAATGAAAAGTAGTCTGGTATGATCAGCCAGACCACACAATTTGCAAATGCACTGGCAAGTATGTGTCTGGCCTTAGAAATAATAGGTAATCTAAACAATGTGCTTGATTGTGTAATATTGTGTTGATACACTTACCCTTTCATGAGATCTGTAGAGCTCATTGATGTCAAAGTTCTCAATGTTCAGGTGCAGTTTTTCCTTACAAAGTTCACATGTAGTGATTGCCTCCAAGTTAGAACCTGTGTATCAAAGCAGAAATATGGACTCAATGAATGAAAAAATACCCGCATTCACCTATTGTTAGCTAATTTAGCCCTCAATGAATTTTTGAACCACAATTTATCTGTACCTTGGCAATGCTATGTTGCTCTTGGGAAATTTTAAGAAACGCGACATTTCCCAATAAGCTGGGAAATGGTAGAACCAAAGTATTCTTTTAATTACATCAGAGTACCAAATAAATACTTTGGTACATAATTATGGTAATCATTCTGAACTCTACAATGGCACTGCCACAGCATTCTTCTGTAAAGGCTACAAGTCTCCTCAATGGAAAAAGTTCTTAAGTTTTAAAATATAGACAGTTAACAAAAGAGATTCTTCACAACTTGACATTTTCAAACTTGTGCATTTTTTATCGGTCCGATTTCACACGGTTATGCATCAGTAGTCCTGAACTGCAGGAAATGAACCCCAAATCTTCCTTGTCAGACTGAAATTGTTCCTTTCTCAGTGCACATCAAACAAATGAATATACACTAAATAAACACCTAATTTACTTCTGCTCTCAGGAAAAGACATCCATACCAGAGCTGATTTTGGAGCGAAGCCATTTCTTAATGCAGTCCTGGTGCACAAACTGCAGGCTGCCGGTGCACTTGCA